TGGATATTAGCAAGCAACCCAGAGGCCAGAGGTATGTACATACATACATATCTCTAAGTGAACCAACACTCTTTATGAAATTTTATGCATGACGCAGGTGGTTATGATTATTATTTATAATTGCCGCCATCAGAATGGGCCAATAACAAGACAAGCACATTTGAGAGAGAGATCGATATAGCCTGTATTTGGCAATCCATAGTACTGGTGCTGATATAGAAAAGGATAGACGACACAAAGTATTGCTGTTTTTAGATCATACATGGCCCCAAATCGGGAAAGCTATGACCACATCTGTCTTTTACATATCTCTGGTTTATTCACTCTAAAAACTCGATGACGTCATAAATCGTAGGTATTCGAAAGGTGGATGCGTCTACACTTGTGGTTTATCAGTGCATCCATATTTTTAACCCTGTGTACAGATTAAAAAAAAAAAATTAAAATTGTACAACAAAATTTTACTATTTATCTTAAAAACTCTCGTTAACCAAAATTTGTTTATTCATTCTCATTATAATTTTAATGACGCTTCAAAAGTTTACTATATTAAATGTTATTTCAAATAAATATGTAAAATAAATGGACATTTGCAAGTGTGGTTTAATAATTCGGTCATACATATCTTTTATTTTTATGTTTAGTACTTTAAAAAGGAAATTCTTAGAGAACGAAAAAATAAATCGCTCATTTCCATCTGTTTGTCTCTCGTCTGTGTCGATTTTTATTAGATAGATAATCTCCGAAATTACTGGACCAATTGTTGTTAAATTTTAGATGTATGTAAATTGTAAAAAATATCGTACAGATGGCAAATCGCTAACTAAAATTTGTCACCAATAATTTGATGACGTCACTCCAAAATTTTGCCTACTAAATAGTGGAGTAATAATTAAAAGCTATAAAATAACATGTTCCTGTACTTGATTTTACCAGAATTACTTCACAAAATTTTTTGTGCAAGGTTATACGTAGCCGATATCTGGCTTATGAACAAAACAAGCTGTGGCCGAGTGGATAAGGTGTTGAACTTGAACTCTGCTCGCATCGTTCGAATCACATCTTCATCAACATCTTTTTTTAAGACATTGAATTTGTTTGTATGTTTAACTTTAGGGCGAGGAAAGTTCTGTGTAAATAACTTTAGACCGATTTTTACTTGCCGAGCGTAAGCAAAGGAAGTATTGTAATCGAGTCCGTCGGCCGAATCTCTACGTTTTTTCGACCTTTCATGACTCCTACAGGACGAAGAAATAGGTCTCCCGTTTCCGTCTGTCTATCTGTCTGTTCGTCTGTCCGTCTGTCTGTCCGTCTGTACTAGGCCGATTGTTGGTTGTAAAATTTTGTATTTATATTAGGAATATCATATATGTAGATGGTAAAACGCTAACCAAAATTTCTCTAATCATCCTCACCACTAATGCGATGACGTCACTTCAAAATTGTACATAGCAAATGGGTTTTAAGTTGTATAAAATAACATAGTCCTACACATGTAAGTAGTTTACGACTCCGAATAGAGTTTTTACCCGAAACATCCAAAACAACATTTTGCAATTTAATTTTCAATCTGCTAAACCGAATGCTTTAAAATCATGCAGATGTTTTAAGGTTATGAAGAGCATAATAAATTTTAGCCAAAATATATTTACTTATCGCCTCCTAAAAATTGATGACGTCAGCTCAAAAGTTTGCTGAATAAATCCTATCTAAAATGTACAAAATATGATGAGTCTGTACTTGTAATTTATCATTCCATTCATATTTGTTGGATTTGCATATACTGTGTGACTCAAAAAATTAATAAATGCTTAAATTTATTTTATTGATTTTATAAGGACCAAATGCTTTGAAATCTTGGAGATGTTTTAACGTTATCATAAGCATGGTAGATTTTCGATCAAAATATATTTGCTCATCCCCTCTAAAAAATTGATGATGTCATCCCAAAATTTTGTTGAATAAATCCTATCTAAAATGTAAAAAATATGATGAGTCTGTACTTATGATTTATCATTCTATTAATATTTTTTGGATTTGCATATACAGGGTGACTCAAAAAAAATATCATTATATTTCAGGAGCGAGGGAAGTTCTGTCGAAACAACTTTCGACCAATTTTTTCTAATTAAAATACAAAAATGTATGCGTAGTATTAAAAATAGAGATATATAACTGAATTTCTAATTCACAGATATACGAACATATTATTTTACACACTTTACACGAGATTTGGTTATCAAAACTTTGAAATAATCGATTACGTACCGATTTTTTGGAAAAGATGGACAAAAAATTTAAAATCTCCATTATGGAGTTATTTAGACAAATCTTAAACTTTGCTTCTACTATTTCATACCTATATAGATAAGTTCTATCAAATTTTAAAATGGTTCTGATAAGTATGTAAAACCATGCTTACCGAGCGTAAGCGAAAGAAGTATTGTAATCGAATCGAGGTTTTAAAGTTATTGTAAGCATGGTAAATTGTTAATCCAAATCTATCCCCAAAAAAATTGATCTCAAAATTTTCCCGAATAAATTCTATCCAAAATGTGCAAAATATGATAAGTGGTGGCTCAAAAAATTAATGAATGAGTCAATTTATTTTATTGATTAGGAACGGCTCACTCCATTTTCCCAGAAAATTTTGGAAATACAATACTGTTATTTTTAGTAATACCCTGCACCAATTCAAGTTGGTATAAGTGTCCTTGCAAAAATTTTGATGACGTCATCACAAAATTGTGTAGAGAAAAAACACAACTCGAAAATGCTAGATATGTTTCATTGTACTCCAGAAGCGAGGGAAGTTCTGTCGAAACAACTTTCGACCATTTTTTTTTTTTATTTGGCGGAATGTGTTCAACCCCAAAGTTGGAAAAATGCCATTAAATAAAATGCAGAATATGGAGAAAAAATTGTTTATTCCTCCATTTGAAGAGAAAAAGTCTGGAAACCAACTGGATAACTGGAAGCCTGTCCCTGCTTTCAAACATTAAATCAAACGTTACAAATCGGTGTAAATATTTGAATATCACAAATTTAAACTCACAAAATTTACGGGATCGATAACTCTGATCAAGGCGATCAATGTATCCTAAGTTACGCTGTCTTTCGAGATTCACCAGTCACATCACATATGTTAAGCGTGTTACATAATTGACCGCATCATTTACTTGACTTTCGGGGTGCCAAGCCAGCGGCTAGCTCTTTCCACGAAGAAGTAGGTACCCCAGGTCATAAACAGAAAGATTTAAGAGACAACTTTCGCAAAAATCCCTCACACTAACATTGTTGTAATTGACCAATGAACTTCAACTAGTTCATTTTGTTACCGTTGATTAAAAAAAGATCCCATACACGTGTTTAATTGAAAACAAACCAGAAAACTGTGTCCGTTGGCATTACTTTTATACAGGTGACCGCATTAATCTGAAAGTTGTACTCCCAAAGTTCTGGTGACGATTAAGTGAATTACTGGAACTCCACAGCTAACAAATTTCTTACACACTCACACCGCAGCAAGTTGAAATAACAATTAATTTGCATGGTGTTAAATTATGTATTAATTCAAGTGAATAGTTAAATCAAAAACCAGCTCACCAAGCTCATCGTGGTGTAAAAGAATTTACAAATCACATAAAACAAAGCACATATGAAATAAACACAACAAGGCACATTATTATGGTCAAACAAACAACAATTCGAGCATAAATGTTCAGATTCAAGCTGTGAGAAAATTATTGGAATGTAAGGAAACAATAACACATTAACACAAAGTAACATAAATATCCAGCAAAATAAACCGGCCACCCTGAAATGTGTCGCAAAATCGCTTTATAAATTATTAATTGAGCTAGTGATTATTATTTGATTTAAAGAACCATTCACTACTGTTGATGCAGAATGTACAAATTATCTAAAAAAAGAGACAAATTCGATTACTTACTAATTAAAATATAATTTTCAAAATGGTATTTCAGGGTGGCCGTTTTTTTGCCGGTCAGTGTATAAAATGCTGTCATTTCCAGTTCATGATAATATTAATTTAACTGATGATACTTTTCAAGGTCCTTCCTCTAAGAATGAATTAACGTTTAAGATATGGAGGTATTATCCATTCACGATCTTTATATAGTAAAGTAGGCTTTGATATTTTTTCTTTAAGTTGAATAAACTGATTTGATGATTTAGTTTTTTGTCTGTCAGTAGTCTGATTGACATTTGCTTTGAGCTGGATTGCCACTTTTCCACTTCATTTATTATTGTCTTTGCCATTTATATTGAAACACCACCTGTTGATTTTGCATAAAATTTAGCAACTGGTAACAGCTTTCAGTTGATTGACAACGGCTTTTAGTTAGAAAATTGTCTGAATATGAACGTTGCCAAATTTACGAACAACAAGTGGTGTTTCAATAGAAATGGCAAAGACTATAGATTAACTAGTCAAACGAGGACTTACCGAAGTTCGACTGTAATTGTCCTAGCCGCCTCATCCGAAGAGATAACTTACAGGTAGCTTCGCTTGCCTCGATAAATGCCACAAGAGTTTAAAGAATAATTCCCTAGATGGCCCTCCTCCGATCCTGCGCTCCTTCCTCGTTGTCGTGTCTACGCCATTTGTTGAAAGAACCTAGCAACATCTAAAAAAGGGGTTTCTCCAACATGCTTTTCAAGCGTGAAAAAACAGATTGTCTGGGTAGGGGGGGTAGTTATCTCTTCGGATGAGGCGGCTAGGACAATTACAGTCGAACTTCGGTAAGTCCTCGTTTGACTAGTTAATTGTCCAACGCCGCCTCATCGCTCAAGATAACTTACAGGTAGACGTTTAAAGAAAGATGTTGCGTTCCACACATACAACCCCCAAGAGAAGTCATGAGAAGTTTATAAAATGCTTATGGAATATATTGATACAAATATATTTGGTCCCTTAGGCTGAACACTAAGCACAATAAACAAAGGAAAGAAAATAATAAAGGATAACCTAAACAAATTCAGTCTTTTAGCATCGCACAAGCGAAGGCTGTTGATTGTGCGAGAGGACGGTTATAAAACCGAGCAAAAACTGATGATCCCGAAGACCATCCCGCTGTTTTTCGAATAACATCCCAAGATAGGCCGCTACGATAGGCTGCCGATGTTGACGCGTGTCGCGTCGAATGTGCACTGAAAATTGAAGTGTCAATTCCTGCAGCCCTGAGTGACCTCTTTATCCACTGGCTGAGGGTTTGTTTGTTAGCTGCCCTATGAGGGGGCCTAATTGTGACGAACAATCGGTCTTCCTTACTGCGAAGATCTGCGGTACGTTGGAGATAAGTCGTTAGTACAGAGGCTACGCAAATTGAGGGATTCTCTTCAAAGAAAGGAATCTGTAAGCACGGTTGTGTGTTTGTCCGCGTTGAGGTTTTTAGTTCATCAGTAATTCGAATCTGAATCTTGTCGGGATTAATGTGAATGTTAGACAGTCGAATTAATGAGAGAGTCTGAATGCGGTGTCCTGTTATTAAGGCTAACAAACAAATGAGTTTATACGTAAGATTGGTCAAGCTTAGTGAGTCATTTGGTGAGTATCTTTGGAAATATTGTATCACCAACCCTGGATCCCAGGTGAAATCGTACTTGGGGCGTGGAGGTCGAAGTCGTGCTATACCCTTTAAAAATCTTTTTATGTGAGGGTCATTGCCCATGTCTCCTGGTAAAATTAAGGCTAATGCTGACCGATGTGAATTGAAGGTGCCATATGCCACTGCTTTGGTACTGTAAATATGTTGCAAAAAAGTCAGTACCTGAGTCTTATCCGCAGTGTAAGGGGATATTGCGTGCTGGTTACAAAAGTCCCACCACTGATGGTAAGTCGTGTCATACTGCTTTAGAGTGGTGTCCGTTATAGAGTTTAACATGATTGGTATGACTGCCTCTGGTATATTTTTTAATGAAAGAGCGTGCCTGACAACCGCGCGGCTACCAGGGTAATTTTGAGTGGGTGAGCCGCCGAACTGTAAGGAGAAGTTATTAAGTCTGGTGTGCTGGAAAAAATAATAGGTTCGCTAGCAATGAGTTTGCTGAATAGTGGGAACCAAACCTGCGTGGGCCAGTGCGGCACAACCACAATACCTGTCGCTTTTTCGTTAATGATTTTATTTAAAACCCTCAGAATCAGCGAAAATGGAGGAAACGCATAGAAGTTTAAGTTTTTCCAGGAAATTGTAAATGCGTCTATCATGACTGCGCCTGGATCTCGTTTCCAGGAAACGTATTTTTCACATTTAAAATTTGCATAGGAGGCAAACAAGTCTATTTCCGGGACAGAAATTGTGGTAATTATTGTGTGAAATGCGGCACCTGACAGTGACCATTCTGTTTCTAACGGCGGAAGTTTACGTGATTCTTGGTCTGCAATCGTGTTGTTGTCTGAGCTTATGTATGAAGCGTAAAGCCAGAGATTTCGTTCTTCAGCCCATTGCCAAATTTTTGCGTGCTAAACTACATAAGTCCGCAAACTTAACACTACCCATTCGGTTAATGTACGAGATTGCTGTTGTATTATCCGACCTAATGAGAATGCTAGCTGATTTATAGCTATTAGCAAAACATTGCAGACCATACTGGATCGCCAGTAGTTCCAAAAAATTAATATGTTTAGTTTGTACATTCAGTGGCCACCAACCGTTAGTGACTTCCCCCTGACAATATGCCCCCCACCCGGTTAAGGAGCTATCCGTAAAAATTTCTAACTCAAAATGATCCTGTCGGATTTCATTATTGCACCTGGTGGTGTGGAGCAACCACCAATCGAGATCTTCGAATGAACGTTTCGAAAGATGCATATAGGCGTTGTAGTTACCGTTTGTTCTGCGTAATGCTAGATATTTATCGCGTTCCAAACGTTTGGTATACAGCCATCCATATTTTATGGCTGGACATGAAGAACCTAACACGCCAAGAGTGTGTGCCAATTTTCTTATCTGAAGTTTCTTCGATAGCTTGATTTCGTTTACGAGTTTTAAAATTCGACGCTGTTTTTCGTTGGGAAGTTCTAAACTCATGCTATGTGAGTCAATAATAAAACCTAAAAAGGTACACCTTGTACTAGGGATCAGAGAACTTTTATTATAATTGATAAGGAAACCCAAAGATTCTAGCAGTGTTGTTGCAACGTGTATATGTCTTTGACCTGCCTCGTAATTTTCACTTAAAATGAGGATGTCATCTAAATAATTCAAGCAAAGTATGCCCGCAGACCTTAAATACTTAACTACTGGTCTCATAATTTTTGTAAACACATAAGGGGCGACTGAAAGCCCAAAGGGCAGACAAGTAAATTCAAAGAATTGATTCTTATATTGGAACCGTAGGTATTTTCTGTGATTTGGATCTATCGGAACTAAAAAATATGCATCCTTCAAATCAATGGAACTCATAAACCAATTTTTCTGTACAAGTTTTGTTACAGACCTGATATCTTCCATTTTGAAATGGGGAGGCGCAAGAAATTGATTAAGACCTTTTAAGTTCAAAATAAATCTGTTCTTGCCGTTAGGTTTTTTAACAAGAAAAAACGGTGACAACCATTGACCTCTCATAGGCTCACAAGGTTCGATTGCTCCCTGTTTTTGCAGCTCCGCGATAACTGGGAGGATGTCTTCCTTATCATGTGACCTCGTGCCTGGTTTAATGCTACGGGAGGCCTGTGGTTGTGTCACAAAAGGGATTTTGTAACCCCGAATCCATTGAAGGATGGAGTCATTTTTGCTGACAATCTGCCACTGTTCAGCAAACTTGCCTAATCGGCCTGCGCAACCTACCTCTGTAGTTACATCCGGCGTGTTCTGTAGCTCTGGCCGCGGGATTTTCCTGAGCGAGACGCTTTGAATGTCGCTTGCGACGTCAACAGTCCGCTCCGGCGTCTCGATGTTCGGATTGGACTTCGCCGGTTTCCCGACCCAGAGGGTGCTACCATCACTGTGGACTTGGTAACCCCCCCCCTTTTTTCCGGTTGCGACCTTGGAGCTTTTGCCGCCTTTAAGTCCAGGCTAGATTTTTGGAGGGACTTGGCGGTTTTTATGCGGTCGGCGAGCGCCTGTCCAAATAGAAATTCGCCGGGCGTGTCCTCCTGCAGGACGTCCTTGAGCGATTTATTTAAATTCTGGCTTATATTATAGCGGCGATGCTTGGACATGGTAAAAAAGAGGTCCGTGAGCAGTCTTCCGGTGTCCGCTAGCAACGAAAGAATGTTATCGAAGTGTGGCGGTTCGTTTGATGCGAGAAGCGCATTTATGGCCTGTGCTAACGGCACTAAACCTACGCCCAGTTGTGTTTGGGCGAGGGTCTGATACTTGTCTTTTTTGAGTGACAGTTCGGACAAAGCAGGTTTTATTTCGGGGTTCAAAGCAGGCGCCTCAAGTCGCGCGCAATTAATAGGAATTTTGTATTTGGCGAGCAGGTCGTTTCTTGTTGTCGCCTCCAAGCCGTTCGTAAGCACATGCGTCCAGCGGGACGCAAGCGCCGTATGCAGTTGACATTTGTCCGTCGTAGCGGCGGACGGGTCGGCGCCTAACACGTCCAGAATTTCCTGTTCGAGCTCGTTGTCATTGCATACGAGTACGACATCGGCGTCGGCCGGTTGCGGTTCCACGGATTTACTTAACTGCGTCGACGGAGACGTGGGAGTCGGACATCGTACTGTGCCACGATCATCCCCGTTCTCGTCGGCAGAAGAAACCGGGCGGGAGCGATCGCTGTCGGGAGATCGGCGATATGGATGATTATTACTCGCGCCATGGCGAGATACTCGGTCTTGTAAACACCGAGCGACAGAACGGCGTGGCGTAGCCTGCCTCTGTCGTTTTACCTTGCGCTCCAGGCGGCGCAGACGTTTGGCCAGTCTTTTGCATGTGGCGGCGTCATCACTTAAAGAGGATGCACTGGACGACGCCCGTCTGCGCGGCGATGTGGAACGGGAGCGTTTTCGGCTTCTGTGCCCCATTCTCACCTAGCTAGAGAGAAAAAGGGGGGTTGGAGGTTAAATTATGAGCGATACTTACGGTTGATCCGTACCAATCGCGAACTCTTGTTGACAGAACGAGCACAAGAAAGCGAATGGCGTAGACACGACAACGAGGAAGGAGCGCAGGATCGGAGGAGGGCCATCTAGGGAATTATTCTTTAAACTCTTGTGGCATTTATCGAGGCAAGCGAAGCTACCTGTAAGTTATCTTGAGCGATGAGGCGGCGTTGGACAATCAGAATTATTAGACGCAATTTTTTAATGAAGCAAACAAATGTTTTAATTTTGTCAGCATAAATAATTGGTCATTGTGACAAATTCACAGATCACTGCGATATTATTTAAAAAGAAAATGCCTAAAATATTAGTTTTACTGCAACAAAAAATTGCAATAAAAAGATGTTTTTTGCAGTGTCGAAAAGACAGGCCCGATCTTTCTTTCGAAGAAGTAACTATGAGGGTCTCGAACATATTTTCTGTAATGTAAAAATACGCTGCAAAATATTTTTTAATTTTTTTTCTCATAGGTGGGACCATCAACTGTGGCGAAAATTTTATCAACAGGGGACCAAAATTTAAAAACATCAGTATCTGGCAAGCGAAAACCAACGGATTTATTTACAAATTATATGTTTCGGAAAGACCTGCAACGACAAATTTGGCAACTTAATGAAAAAAACGAATATTTCAGTATAGATACTCTTTTGGCATATTCTAGGAAACAGTTGGAATTTAAAGGGGGGCCAACCACATTATACAAAAGTCAATGGATTATAAACACAGGGAAGTAAATGGGCGCAAAATTCTATGTGAGAATGAGAACATATTTACAGTTTCTAAATTCTTGTGAAAATTTCACTTTTGTGTATTTGGATGAAACATGGATCTATCAAAATGGTTCGTCCATTCGTCGCTGGGTGCACGATACTGATCTAAAAAGCAATTCCACCAAAATTAAAAGTCAAGGATCAAGGTTTACTATTCTCCACGCGGGTTGTTCAACGGGGTTCTTGGATGGTTGTAACAATTTTTTAAATTCAAAAAATAACGATAGAGACTATCATAAAACGATGGACGGGACAATTTTTCAAAATTCGGTGGTTAATCAGCTCATTCCTGCTTTGGCAAAGTTGAACCAAAAATGTGTGGTGGTTTTAGACAATGCACCGTATCATTCGGTTCAGTTGAATAACCCACCCACTTTTTCTAGTAAAAAATGTGAAATGCAGATGTGGCTCTTTAAAGATAATGGTGAATTTGACAAAAAGTTTTCGAAGAAACAGTTGTGGGATTTAATTAAACCCTTCAGAAATAATAAAAAAAAGATATTTGATAGGGAGACATTAAGAGAAAGTGGCCATGAAGGTCTTAGATTACCTCCGTGCCATTGTCAATTATAATATAACAAGTGATATGATTATTATCGATAATATTTCAAGTGAAACCGAGCTGCAGATTCAACGAGTGCGAAGCACGAGTTGAATGTGCTGCTTCGGTTTCACGAGCCATATCTTCGATTATTAATCATATCACGAGATATATTCAACATGAGAATATAATAAATGAACACATTTTTGGAAAATAGAATTGATTTCGTCGTTTTGAGCTTGCCCCCAACGTTGGCAAGCCATAAAGGACAAAAAAATTTATGAAATTCTAAAATTTGTCAATTTGACAGTTTTTAAATTTAGGTAGCAACAGACCACAATAAGGCAATAAAATTATTATCGCTGTGATAGACATGTAACTAAGGGCATGAACAAATTCTATTGGAAGAAATGAGGTCATGTGATACATGAATTATATTCTCAATATAATCCAATTGAAATGGCGTGGGAATTTTGTAAGAACTATTACAACAAGCATATAAATTCTCTATCTTCATTAAAAAATAGGGTGGAGAATTTATGGCTTGAGGCGCTTTCTAAATGTACTCCAAGCATGTGGCAAAATTTTTGTAAACATTGTGAAAAACTTATTTTGGTAGATTGGGAAACAAATATGGGAAATCTTTCGTACGAATCTATACCTCCTTTCATTATTTCGCTAGGTGAATCTGATTCAGTATCTGAATTTGAAAATGACGGTGATGATACAGATTTTCATAACGAAATAATGGAAATGGAGTGAATTGTAGCTTGTGGGGGGGTGATATTTTTACACATCTTTCGTTCTAAATTTACCAAGGTAGTATGTGAAAAACTACCTGACGTACAATAAAATAAGTATAATTTTAATTAGATCATCCACGTTGTTACTTTGCACCAAATTTTAAGCATTTTCATTTTTTTTTTTTGTAACTCTTCATGGACCTGCAGAAGGCGTATAGTAACGTTCTTATTAATAAGTGTTTGGAAGTACTCAGTAAAAGCAAATAAAGAGCACTTACGTAAGCATTAGTAATAGCTATATAGATAAATCATTCAATTTAAGACCGGAAAAATGTTGCAGAAGAGCTAAACCCATCAAAGCACTAAAGCAAGGTTGTTGTTGTCAAGTGAACAAAAGAAGTTGGAAGATAGGGAAATAGGCTGTTCACAAAGGTCGAAATTTCCAATTCTAAGAAGAGTGGGCGAGCAGAACGAACTGATGATTGAGAATTAACGGGACTCGATAGACGAGGTATAACATTTTTTTGGTTTTTTGTACGAAAGAATGATATTAAAATAGATGTATCAGACATCAAACTGCAGCTTTTTTCATATTCTAGAGCGCAGAGACCAGTTCAATCAATTGAAAAAATATGATTGAGAAATATCGCAAAAAAAGCACCATTGTATGTTTTCTTTTCAAGTTTTTTGAGTCATAACCGTCATAGAATCGCTTAAAAACTCGCACATGGACAAAGCATCACCTTTTACAGGCCGCAAAGTCATTAAATGTTTGTTAGTGGTACAATTTGTTTAAATAATAATGTGTTTATTAAAATCAAAATATACCACAAATTAAAGCAAAATACGTCGAATAATTTTAACAGGAATATCAGAAGAAAATTACTGATCTATTGCTTAGCAGAGTTTTTAACAAAAACTAACAATTATTGAAAAAAATGGGTATCAATTCGACAGAATTTGAGCCGTTAGTTCAGTACTTTGCCGATAGGAGCGCCACTAAAATTTACTGATTGTTAGCATTCTCGGCTGATTTTTCTAATTTATGGCAAGGAACTCAGTTTTATAACAAGCCGCCAGGACCGGCCGTAGTAATCTATTGTTAAGGAATTTAACTTTTACGCAATGAGGTACTATATCATAAAACCGAATTAAAACTCAGGTTCCTGAATTCAATATACATGATTACTAAAAATTCATTGTAATATTATTGTTAATATATATTTTGTTTTCTTAATTAATAAAACTAATAAACATCGCAACAAGGAAAATCTTCACACAGTATAGAAGGCATCATCCAAAATCGTCGATTGAAAGATTCTCATTACCAAGACAGAATGGAGGAAGGGGTTTCCAGAACCTAGAAAACTTATGTCAGAGACAAATCTCAGATTTGAAGAAGTATTTCTTGAAACGAGCGGAAAGAAATGAAATGTTTCGCACCATCACAAGAGCAGATTTGAACCACACACCCTTAAATCTGTCGAACACCGAAGAAATCCACACCCCCCACACAATAGATAAAATAATAAGTGGGCTAAAACAAAAACAACTTCATGGAAAATTCTACAAAGACTTAGAAGAAACTCATGTCAATAAGAAGATGTCATTGATTTGTTTAAAAAAATCAGGTTTGTATGCCGAAACAGAAGGATTTGTGTTTGCTATTCAAGACCAAGTAATCAATACCAAGAATTACAAAAAATACTTCATCAAAGATCCGAACATAAGAAACGAATGCTGTCGCCTCTACAAAGCAAAACCTGAAACGATCCAGCACATAATCTCCTCCTGCAGCATCCTAGCACAAACTGACTACAAAGCTAGACACGACAACGTCGCCAAAATCATCCACAAAGAATTAGCAACACTTATGAACTTAATCGAAGATACGACACCCTATTACACTTACATTCCATCTCCGTTCCTTGAAAATAACAAATACAAATTATACTGGGATCGCACAATACTTACAGACTTAAACATTACAGCTAACAGACCTGACATCATACTTATCAAAAAACACACGAACGAAGCCATTCTCATTGACATTGCTGTTCCTAACACAAATAACATTATTCAAACATACCACACCAAGATTTCAAAATATCTACAATTATCGATAGAAATGAAATCCATGTTGAATCTTAAAAAAATTTCAATTCTACCCCTAGTTATCTCTAATGTAGGTGTAGTTCCAAATAGCTTAGTTGAGAATTTAAAGTCTTTGCATTTGAATGATTCAATAATTATCAAAATTCAAAAAGCTGTTTTGTTAGGAACATGTCATATTGTTCGTAAGTTTCTTGAACAGTCTGATCATGTCAGTCAGATTAGATTAGCACCAGTAGGTCAGAGTAGTGTAGGTCACTTTCCAAGTGATGCGCGGATAAATGGTCGGTAGTTACGCTAGACTTTTGGTATGGGGTGAGATTAGAGAATAATGGCAGACTAATTTTTATGCTGTAATTCTAGAATCTCGAAAGTTGTTCTGTTAATCTAATCAATGCATATCACTACTTGGTCTTAGTACCCGTAATGATAGAAGTCTTGCCTGAATGCCGGTCATTTCCGGGTCAGTGGTGGGTCTTAACATATTTATAATAATAATAAAAAATATATAAAATACAGCTTTTGTTTAACACGTATAAGTAGCTAAGTGTATCTACTACTTATCCCAGAAAGGAGGTGTTTCAAAAAAGCGCTACGTCCAGTAACTTCTCCCTTCATTGTTTACTCGAAAAAAGTGCTCGTATATGTTTTCATTTGCCGAGAGATCATTTTCAAAATATATCTATATTAATAAAAATGAATCGCCGAAATGTATGTACGCTCATAACTTCAGAACGGCTGCACCGAATTGGACGA